TGTATATATATATATATACATACACACACACATACATATATATATATATATATATATATATATATATATATATACACATATACACATATACATACATATATATATATATATTGTATGTATATATATATATATATATATATACATAAATATATATATATATAAAATATTTCCCTTTACTATAGTATTTTAAATGTGTAACGCCTGGTTTTATTGGATTTTTTGTTTTAGCTGTTATACTAATTTGTTCCTGTTTAGTACAGCATATTATTTACAGCAAATAACTGAACTATTATGCCTCATATATTTCATTGACAGTTTTATTGAACATTAAGATATGTTTGACTTGGATTCAAGTTGCTTCGATTTAAAAATAAAAATTGCAAAAATAGCTTGGATGTATCCAGGCTACTTTAGCATTGTAGCTTTTAGCTTAGCTTGCTACATTTCCCAGTGTGTAGCCTTAGTGTTGTTAAGCTACATTTTAAGTAGAGCTAATAGCTTAGCTCACTACATTTTTCAAGTAGCTTGCCCAACACTGCCAAAACGCCACAATTAGGATTAAAGCCTAAAAGGGTCAGTTTCAGAGTTAGAAAACATTATTCGTGTGGTATTTTGAGCTGAATCACACAACACTCAACCTCTAGAGACATCAGAGGCTTATTTTGCATCTTGTTAAAAGGGGCAGAATAGGTCCCCTTTAATATACTAATGACTTTTAGCAAATCTTTAGACCCATACAATGTTTGTTGGCGTTCGCCAACATTTACCTGTGCAACATTAGACTGGTTTTGTGACCCTGGGTCACATATACAAAATCTACAAGTATTTGTGCAACCCAAAACAAATGTCTGGTTAGCATGACTCTTATATTGTCTGTTTTGACTGTTTGGAATCAGTTTTTTGGGCCAGTTCTGAGCAGTAAAACAATATCTTTTAACAAAACTTGTTCGGTAAATGTCAGGTGGCTACAAATAAATATGACTTGATATTTTCCTACAGACAAGAAACATCAGATCGTGAGACTGAAGGTGAAGCCTACTCAGAATCTAAACGAGCCTGCAGTGATGGAAGCCGTCTTACAGTGGGTGAGTATTAAATGTGGAATCAGCCGATTACAAAATATAGCACACTTTAAAGGGTCAAATCTGTGCATATTAGCGTTGACGTAGCCAAAGAGCAGCATTTACAGCGCTTCTGAGAGCCGTGTTGGACATGTCGGACTTCTCCCCACCATCAATCCGTATTTTGTTTCAGAAAGAAGTTGTCGCAAAATCATATGTTATTACCAATGACTGTAAAAAAATATGGACGACGCGACAGCCCCTTTTCCCATTGAACGCCTTGAGGGCAAAACGCCTGCTTGACGGGCACAAACTGTCTCAAAAGACTGCTGAAATTGGAGCCTTGACATGCGCAGAAGGACTGTCTGATGGAGCCAGAGGAGGAGCCGCGAAAATGAGCGGAGTCGAGCTTCCAACCAAACGCTTTATGTAAAATCAACCACGCCCCCCGAACTTCTCAGCATGCGTTTGCTGTCATATCAACACAAATGGATGTAATAACGTTAACAAATATGAGGGTTTTATATAATGAAGATTCAATTGCGCCAGCTCCGGGCCACAGCGCATAACCTACTGCTCAGACCATAGACTGGCTCAGACGCGCTGCTTTGACAAACTGTCAATCACAGCTGTCAATCACGATGACACGCCCAGCATTAAATTACTGTTAAAAACAAACTGTTTACAAAAATGAAGATCTGCACCTATTTCAGCACAATAACCAGTGCCTTAATCGACCAGAACCATCTTTCGGGACATTTTATTGCAAGTGTAATAATTTTTTTTATTTGGGCTCAAGTCTCCTTCATTAACACGGAGGAGGCGGGCTTTATGACTTGTACTGCAGCCAGCCCCCAGGGGGCGATCTAACGGCCGAAACCTTCACTCAAACGCAGGCTTGCGGCACACTTGGTTATTACTTACTGGAGCAATTTTACAAATATTTCAAACTGGAGAAAAGCCACACAAATATCTTATTGTGAACAAAGTCAGAGAAGTGTCCTTTAAATTAATTCACAGATTCTATCCAGTGAGTAGCTATTTAATAAGATTTAAATTAAATATTAACACAATGTGCACTTTCTGTAATTCAAAAGAAGAAACAACTGTGCATTTATTTTGGTATTGTTCCTACACGAAAACATTTTGGGGTAACTTTTGCAAATTTGTAATTGAGTTTATATATTCCAACTTTTCTTTGTTTTGGGAAAATGTATTATTTGGTTTTATTGATACAGACAATAGTACAGGGAAAGTGTTCTACTTCATAAATCTTACTTTTACTTGCTAAATATCATATCCTTAAATGCAAATTCTCCAATAATAAACCGCTTTTTTCAACCCGGGCTCATTGTGGAAACGTAGCCCCGCGGACGTTTCTGCGGACCGCGATTTACGTCCCGGGAGGTACGTATTCGAGCGTTTTTTTGTTTTTGTGGATCTCGGGAGTGTGCGGCGTTCGCGCCGTTCTCGCGCAAAAAGCCGCCGGATCGGGGAAAAAAAAAAAAAGCAAAAGCTCTCGTCTTCGATTTCGACCGCGTTTTCGGATCCCGCCGCGTTCTCGCCCTCATTTTTCGGATTCCGTTTTTCGTCTCACCTGATTTCCGGAACCCGCTGTTCCTCAGACTCGATCCCGGTCATCGTCCACCACGGCCGGCTCCTCCTCCTCCTCCTTGTCCGGGGCCTCCGCTCTGCCGACGCAACGCTGTGAGCTAGGCGGACAAACTGATTGCGTCGGGAAAGCCCTCCACTCGGAGGCGAGCCGTAGGCCGGCGAGCGCGAAGAGGAGGGGCGGAGCGGCGCCACACCGCCTCGCGGCGTTCGCTCGAAAAAAACCAAACGCGGCCTTTACGTACCTCCGGCCACGTAAATCGCGGTCTCCAGAAACATCCGCGGGGCTACGTTTCCAGAATGAGCTTGGGTTGGCTTTTTTAGGCATTCATAAAAGAATTGGAACAATACTTTGAAACACTTTCCGGTTCAGGAAACACTAAGGCTAGGAAACCATTAGCTGCGTCCCAAATGGCACACTATGCACTATTCTACGCCATTTTGTAGTATAAATAGTGTAAGTAGTGTGTTCACACTGAAAACTCTTAAAATAATAAGTGCACTTTAATTACCCGGATGATGCACTCATTCAGTCGCTAAAATGAAGTGTGTAATGATGGACACCTCACGCACTCAAAGACCGCAGGTTTGCTTACGTAGCGGAAGGGGCGGAGCTATCGGATGCACATATTGGATAACTTTATTTATTTTGGATGGTGAAAGCAAAATTCTCCTACGAGAGTGATTATAGCGCCTCCCGATGGTGAATGCGGTTATACTCACGATAGGTATTATTTGATAATTCGGTCGTTTATTTCACTGATTTGGCGACCGTCAAACGTCATCAGGGAAACGGTT